CACCATCACAACATGACCGGGACACAATATGACACAATCACATGACCGGGACACCATCAAACATGACCGGGAAACCATCACAACATGACCGGGACACCGTCAAAACATGACCGGGACACCATCAAAACAGGGCCGGGACACCATCACAACATGACTGGGACACAATCAAAACATGATCGGGACACGATCACAACATGACCGCGCCACCATCACATGATCGGGACACCATCAAAACAGGACCGGGACACCGTCACAACACGACCGGGACACCATCAAAACATGACCGGGACACCATCACAACATGACCGGGACACCATCAAAACATGACCGGGACACCATCAAAACATGACCGGGACACCATCAAAACATGACCGGGACACCATGGTCACAATCAAGACATGATCGGGACACCATCAAAACATGACCGGGACACCAGCATCACATGACCCGGACGCCATCAAAACATGACCGGGACACCATCCGCGCACCAGCTCTGACGGTGACCCGACGGCGCCCCGCCTATTAGTTTTGCAAGACCCCATAGCATGGCTATTGGGGAACAATTTCGCCTGCCAAGGCCTATCGTATTTGTCCACACCCTCCCAGGAATAAGCTGCCAAACCCCATTTCATAAACGCATTCCCCTGCCAAGCTCCCCAGCGACACGCCACGTTTATGCCAGCGCGCTTTCCTCCCCGAGCGGCATGGACTCACACAAACACACTAACATGCAACCACGACACACCCAGCCACGTAACTCGCGCAAACACGCTTTTCACCGAAGCTGCGTGGCACAGCGACATCACAGACGGACTTTGGCCACACCGTGCGCAACAAGCTACATACAACCATGTCACATCTAGCGTTGCGGGCGCCGCCCATCTCCTGCTCCCGAGCAACACGCCGCATTTACGCCAGCATGCCACCCCCCCCCCCAATGGCACAGACTCACGCAAACACACTTTTCACCGACGCCGCGCAAATCCGACTGGCACAGTGACATCACAGACGGACTTTGGCCACGCGGTGTGCCAGTTGAAAACACACACACGCACACACACACACGCACACACACGCCATTGTACTGTTTACAATACTCTGGACAAGGACCTGCTGCAAAAATATATCCGAAGAATAGCTGTATCATAGGACACCGTCTCATGCATTATACTGCCTTCGGGTCCAAGGTAGAGCTCCGCTATGGGACGGGTACATTAGCAATGAACATTACACCTCAGCAGTTTGTTGGTATCATAAAGCTTTGCGCAAAGAGTGTATAGATTCACACCTCGTACGGTAGGCGATCGCAGCCATGTAGCCAAAGTAACCTCAAAGGAACCAAAAGAAGGCGTTTCACTTTGATTCGTAAAATGTCATCCGCGATCTGAACGAAAGATCGGTACAAAATTCCTGGTCATGAACATTCATGAGCTCATCACGGCTAAGACTCAGCATGTCACAGAAGTCACCAAGAGCATAGCTTCTGTGTTCCCGCTCCTCCATGGTCCTGAGCAACAGCTTTGCGGGCGTTTTCCTCGAACAAAAAGATACCAGCGTTGACCCCAAACAGTTTGTTTGGTCCAGTAGGTCCAAGTCCAGTAAAATCACGCAGCCACAGCACCAACAAAGGACTGGAGACAGTGGGAGGTCAATGGGAGGCAAGTGTAAAATCACCTACACAATGGGTAACAAGTGCAAAATCATGCGGCCAAAGCACCCACAGCGAACTGGAGACAGTGGGAGGCAAATAGGAGACAAGTGTAAAAATCACACGGCCAAAGCACCACAGAAGAGTGGAGGCAGTGGCGCACAAGTAAGTGGGAGACAAATGTAGAACCATCCGGCCAGCGCACCCAGAAGGGACGGGAATGGGAGACAAATGTAAAATCATGCGCCAGGGCATAAATGTAAAGCCACGCGCCGGAGTAAGAACCCCTCACGGGTAAACCTGTTCGAGGAAAAATGTTTTCTTCGTTGTTCATTTTGTATATTCTGTGCGTGATTGCAACCACACCCGTGGAACACGTGCAAACACATACAAAAATGCATCTGAGTCGTCGGCCAGTGAGCAGTTCCGGTGCTCAATCGAAATATGCTCTCTTCATCTGACTGTCGAGACAGGTTGATTCTCGTCGTATGTTGGATCCACGTCGTTATACCTATAAAGAGGGAACGAAGACTTCTGGGCATTCCTTTCCTGAAGAGGTACCAGCTCATCATCTTCTAGGCTTCCATTTGGATTGCCTTACCACAGGGAGATCCAAAAGTAAAGCGAAACATTGCGAGGAAAAACATGGCTCGTTACAAAGGAAGTACAAATGATCAGCGTTCTGAACGCGGAGGAAGCTTGGCTCAATCCTGACGTGTCAGAATCGCCCAGCGGCAATCACAGCATGCACTGAAGCATATTAATATTAAACCAGGTGTGTCCTTTCCAGCAAGGCTTGAGACCACCAAAAAACTTCGTCCTCAAAGATGTGAACTCTTGAAAGTAGGCTATACTGTACTGTATACATCGGTATTACTTACACAGTCCTGGTAAGAACCGCCAAGTGCTTCCAATGCCTGCCTAAAGCTGGTCCTGGGTCTTTTTCAACCAGTCATAATCGGTTTCCCACTGACTCAAAGGCACTATTGTGAGCCCACTTTGCGGTACGTGTCATACCCTGGCAGCTGTACAAGATACAAACGACAAACGAATGGATGAAATCACACCCGTCTTATCTACACGTTTGACGCGGGCTATCGGCAGAGCTTTCTACCGTTTCAGGTTCCGTGGATTGGGCCTCTTGGTTCCAACGGAGTAAACAACTTCACATACCAGGCATGAATTCTGGAACCTACCTCTCAAGTCTCGATCACCGCCTCGCCGCTGACCAACACTCGAAGCAAGTAGTCTGCTTGCGTGAACTTTGTGAAACAATCAGCAAGCTGACTGCCTCCATCAGTCCATCGGAGCTCATCATCCCCGCGCGCCACATAGCGATCCATCCGTCTTTCTCCGTCGGGCCACAGTGCAACAGCCCGCGCCTCAAGCTCGGCGACTCTATTCCTAGGCGCTTATCTTGAACTTCGCGCATCACTTCAGCGCACAAATGCTCACTGAGTGAACGATCTGCAAGATAGAGATGTTTCATCTAGGTTTGTATTCCTCGTGCCAGTTCAACAGTTTCGTCCAGGCATCTCATTCGTCACTGCCCTCAAAGGATCTCCTGGTTTTTGTAAGGCGTAAATTTCCGCCAAGGTCCATGAGATGACATGGTTTCTCAGTCTCACTATCACCCTTGTTGGTGAGACAAAAGTTGCGTCCAATCATCAGGTCACTCCAATCAATTCACCGTTGCCTTTGCACTGCATGTCGTCTCCTGATCAGTCGCTTTGTGGGTCAGGTCTTCCATACCCCTCCATATACCTGCTCACCCATGCCAAGTTGCCAACCACGCTTCGCAATGAAGTAGGCCCTTGAGTCCGGCCCTGATCGTTACCAGCTTGCTTCCTTTGCGACGGCGTAGTCCGGGTCCTGGGCGAAGCGTCTCCACAGTCCTGAATATCTTGCCGATCAAGAATTTGCCCAACAACTGCATCCTTGGTCCAAATGAGCGATCAAAAGGTCATCCACGCGCGCAGATCGACGCAATGATCTTGCCATCATCTTTCCACTTGCAGTAGGTTGCAGGGCAAATATTGGATACCTGAAGTCCGGCTGCAAGGCTCTCTGGGTTCATCCTCAAGTAGAAACCTCTTCAGGCGTCGCAAGTCCCACTAAATCAATGGGAACTCTGCGCGCGATTACTGCATCGTCTGGGATCTCACACCGTCCAAGCTCGACAATCCTCCACGCGGCTGCTCCATTCGGAGAAGTTAGCTCATAGGTTCTCGCCGGATCTACGCGCTTGTCACGCCTGGAGCAAACAATTTGGTCCTCCGCAAGGCTGCAAACGACGCAAGCATCAAGCGTGCGACTCAAGTTCGGTGGTAGGCGAGCCGCATCTGACTTGTTGGCCCGGTCAGCCATCTTCTTGTTGGCCGTCTGGTTCGTGAACTCTATCCATATCCACTCTGGTCCGGAGTTTACACCCTCATGGAGTCCAGCCAGATCTGCCGCATTTTGTGTGGGAGCTGCTCTCTGCTTTGAGGGGCCACACCGCGGATAGAAGATCTGGAACGCAATCCTGCAAGGGATATTGCTACAGTCACACAATCAACCAACCTCCAACTCTGGTCAGCCAAAAGCTGCCAAACCCACACGTTCCTGGATCGATGAGCCGCTGTGAGAGTCCGGGCTGGGAAGCACTCTCCAGCACCAGCTCCGCTACCTTACCAGTTTGAATCTCAACGCGATCCGTTTGTTTTCGTGTCCAAGTGACTCAAGGGCCCTGGCTTGCCCAGTTCACGGCGGTAACATTTATATCTTTCAACATATGGACATAATTTTCTAGATGTCACCAGTAGGCTCCGGACTGATCAGGGGCTAATGGTGGCTGATGAAAAACCATGAAAGAACAATCCAGCCAAGCTTGGGGCCATTCGGTATTGTGGCGGCAGTCAAGATACCATGGAACGCGCCATCCCAAAACATGTACCTTCAAGTGTGTCGAACAATGCAAAAAAAAGAACGTACTTCATGCGTCTCGCGACATACAATGTTGTGATATATCATCTTCGTATATTGTCTAGGTCTAAGGGCGTCCAAATCCACTGGCAGTCGCACCTTGAGAAGGACCCATAACGAAGTCTGGCAAGCTGCACTCACCATGCATGAATGCACATTCAAATGACTCCAAGAATCTCAAGCTCTGCGAACAAACCGGTCTTTTTTGTTGAGATTGAGAAGCAGTCTAGCCTGGCTTTGAGATGCTTTGAGTGTTAAGCGGTTGGCACTTGTCCAGAACCGGAGATGCTGCTTGTCACACGGTCTTGCAATGCGAGTCTTGCAGCATGAGTATCTGTTACTGTTACTCTTGATGGCAGAGCTGCCCCATCGTCCACGAGAGCTACACTCCGAGTTTCGTAGCGTGAGGGGCAGCGGCTGAAGCTGTTTCGTTTCAATTCATGCTCTTTTGAGCCTTTTCGCGTTTCGACTCTTTGGCTTGTCCGTCAAATGGAACAAGCAGCTCTGGTATGCCCTAGTGTCAAGTTGAGTCCGGGTATTGACTCATAGACATTGTTCGTGCGTTAATCAATGGCCACTAGCCAAATATGTACAAGAATCCACACGCTCCATTCCTGACATCGTTCCGGTGTGACAGCTCTCTTTGACAAGAATGACACTTATTTAGACTTAGACCTTTTTGAGCAATGCTCGTATCGGTTGGATCATGCACCTGTTGGCACACTTGACCAAAGGCATCAAGAGCTGCCGGACATCCGCAGGCTTGGAAAAGTGGCCCTTCTTGTCCCTCCCAAAGTAAAACAATGAGGGTCCATCAATGATCTTCAACGCTTGCTTAGATCCCTTGGGTCCAAACGCGCTGGAAGGCTGAGATCCAAATTCTCCAGACCCCCGCGCTTTTTAAAATTAACTTCCCATCGCGATAGGCGCCAAAGGATGATTTTAGCATATTTTAGCCATCCATTGCAAAAGTCAGCCAAGTTGCACCAAATTGATAGTAACAATTGATCATTGATCATGAGTATCATCTATTCAACCAAACCTGCAGACAGACCTGTCGATGTTGAAGTTTGGAATATCTCATATAAAAAAACTCTGTGAACGGTATTGGCTTCGTATAACTGTATTCGCCGGACTGCAAAATGCGGCATTCCGGGACACACTCAGCTTGCCTCACAGGACACACGCAACCATCTCATTCTACAAACTGGAAACTCTTGACTGCAGCCAAATCACGTGAATAAACTTTTTGGGACAGGGCCAGGGTCTCTCTTCTTCATCAGGAACATCTCTGTGCCAGCCTTGGTTGCATACATAACAAACAATGACAACACCACTCAAACAACATTGGATCGAGTAGTCCCTTATTTTGAGGCCTTGCGGTTTAGTTGCATGGCAATGATCTGTGCAAATTCAGAAATCGTTTGCGGTGGCTCTTGATTCTTGATGATATTTGCGCTTCAACGGAGGTGGCTTCTGGTGATGCGATGCAAATACTCGTGTTAAAAATAGATGTTATTTCAGTTATTTCCGTACTGACGTGTGGCGATGCAAAATGGTACCTTACCTAGTGGATCTAGTGGTCTACGGTGGTTCTGGTGATACGCGGTCATTTCTGGTGGTTGGTGGTGCTCTGTGGTATGGTGTCCCAACCACCTCTTTTGACTGCTAAAGAAAGCACAGGAGATCACAGGAGGCTATTACATTAAAAGGCCGTGTGGGAACAAAATCATCTATTCAAGGACAACACGAAAACCTATGACGTCGACGACAACAAGAACAAAAAAATGTACAAAACAAAAACAAGAGTTTGGTGTCAAATATCGGATGATATCGGCGCTCTTGGACTCTCCCGCTTTCTAGTAGTGACAAAAACTGGAACCCAATTGTTGCTTCGAAAGCAACCCTGCAGAACATCACACTAAAGACACAACACGAACAACTGGAACAAGACTGTCCAAACAAAAGCAAAAAAGCCAACAACAGCAGCAGCAACAACAACAACAACGTCGCTGCGAACTATAACAATAGCAAAAAATGCAAAAATACTCATAGATCACATTGCTTTTATGTAGCCTCCACCCTTGCGCATCAGTGTCCATGGAGGGTGGCTGTTAGTCTAGTGGCAGTGCATAGTGTGTATCTGTCTGCCCCTGCCCTGCAAGGAAAGGCGGACAAAAGGACGCAGAGCTGGAGGTGGAGCACCACTTCACCAAATGCAATATTAAGTATTATTCCTTCACATTCCTTCCATACACTTAAACGGTGTCCAGGCTTGGAGAGAGAGAGAGATGTGTGTGTGTGTGTGTGCGCGTGTAAACTTTGCATATATATAATATACACACACCAGTGTAAGTGTAAGTGTATGCATGTTCTTAGTGTATTAATGTGCCTTTGCACTATCCTTGTCTTTGCCCGTCTGGTATAGAAAGGGCTATGCACCGTCGGTGTGTAAGTGTATTATCATGTACAGTATTTTAGTTTGCGCAACATGTCTATGCAGTCTGTGCACTTGAGCCTTTGCAACTCAGGGTCTGCAACAAAACTCTATACTTGGGGGTCAGTAGGCTCGATTTGTATAGCTGTGTGTGTGTGTCTTCGTCAGGCTTTGCAATTTAGTGCCCTTTCTGAACTGCAACAATCCATGGTATTGCATATTTTATACCTCAATGTAGTCTTGCAAGCAATGTGAGCGCTACATAGCGCTACAGCCCCTGCAACGTCGCTGCAACGCAATGGTCTTCGCAAAGCCTATTGGCGACTTCACATTGTGTAGTGCAGCGGGTGCACTATTGAACATATTCTCAGTGTTGCACATGAATATGAAATAGCCATAAATAACGTGCGTGCTAAAGTTTTTGCAACAGTGCAAGCGTATAGTACCTCATACAAGCGTTGAGCGCGTCTCTTCGAGCAATACATTCTTTAAATCGATCGTTGCAGGGTCAATCTCTACCGAGTACCCCAAAGGTTCTTCAGTGCAATCTGTACACGTAGTTGAGGGCTGATTTGCTACACGGGCCCTTCATCACCAAACCATGGCTTTGCACCTCTGCGGACACCAAGGCAGCCCCAACGCTGATAAACACTACCTGACAAACATGACCGGACATCACCAGCGCATGACCGGAACAAAATCACACAACAGGCACGCAACCGCCTCACCAATACGGCGGGACACGAATGAACATGACATGGACAGCATCAGGTGACCGGGTCCACCTATTTGTTTGTAAGACCCTGAAGCAAACAACATCAACTGATCATGCCACTGAGGTGTTGCATCCCAGATACCCAAGGAGGGCGGAAGTCCTCACTCCAGCATGATGTAGCCTCACAAGGACTGGGGTGTTCAACCTGGTGCCCACAGGGAGCTTGGGATGCATGTGGACAGGAGACCAGGCTTGACGGCCTGCAACCCCTCTGACTTTATGTTTTGTACTGTCTTCATTATATTGTCTATGTTGCTGTCTATATCTTTCTATACTGGTGTTGCATCATATTGCAGCCACTTGCCAGGCATATTCAAGGCTACTCCCCTGAGCCTTGGATTGCCTTTGGGACATCTTTGGACAAAGCCACATGCCAGCAACCCTTGACCGCAGAATCATGACCCTCAATATCCTAACTCTCAGGCACTTCAAGGTCTCTGCGCCAACAATATATAAAGTCAAGAGCTTGCATGAAATCCAAGACCCCAAGGTCAGCTACTACTTGACAAAACAAAATTCCATGGACAGAAACTCCGCACAGAATCAAGACCCTCAAGCTCAAAAGGTGCGCATACAAAGTTGAAGACTCCAGGCAGCTAGCCATCCAGCTCTGGGTAGCAAAATTGGTCTTTACAGCATGAATGGACATCTGGACACCCAGGGTCATGATTTCAAGTTTATATATGTTCAGCAGGATTGTGTGTGCTTGACCCCTGGAATCATAGGGGGCCGTTTGGCTACGAAGCTAAATCGCTGGAGGGGAAGCGGATGGAGACGTCCATTCGTGTACCTGCTACATTTTGTGAGTGTTGTATTCACCTTCCACTCGTAAAGGTCTTCATTCAGGCTGTTGCAAGATGATTCAGGTCTGCAGATGTGAGCGCTCGATTTCGGCTTCGTCGTCCGCTTGGGCTTGGGTATTTCTTGAACTCTTGGAACTTCTTGAACTTTGGAAGGCCAATGGTCATTTCTTGAGGATGCTTGGTCACCTTTGAGGCCGCTTCTAGGAACACTTACTGTATCTCGAGTGTGGGGGGGCACCGGGGTTCCAGAAGAGCAGTGGCAGTCAAACACCTCCTCTGGGATCTCCATAAACGAAGCTGCTGAACTGTTCCCACTGTCGTTTGGTTTCATGGCGCTTCATGTCCAAGACTTGTGACGGTACTTGAGTGTTGGAAAGCTTGGAACTCGGAACTTTGGAACTTGTTTGTTCCTGACTTGAGGACGCTCGAGCACTGTTGCGTGTTGTAGAGGTTTTTTTTCACCTGACCTCGGTTTCGTCGAGGGGCGGCCACTCGCTTTTCGTACACCACTCAATATTGAGTCGAGTATGTCCTTGAGTCACACTTGCATGACTCTGTCAAGCCTGCCTTGTATATGTGTTGCATCCTCCCGCCTTTTAGTGTCGGAGCTATTCCCATCTAGCAGCGTCTTTTAAGCACACTTCTTCTTACGCTCTCTTATCCACGGACTCATCAAAACCAATCAAGGGATTCAAAATGATGAAACATATTGAAACATTCCTAGAAGAAACACGGAGCCCCCCACCCAGCAACATCAATGATCGGTCATTGAAAATACCTATATGCACATCTTTCTTATACTGAGAAGGTTGACTAGCTCCTCTTGATCCATTGGTAGATCTTTAATTCGGTAAATTGTTGCTATTGAGACTTGACATGACTTTACCATACAGGATTGTCAGTGAAATCAAAAATAAGAAGGAACCTTCATCACTGCATCCCAAAATCCTGCCGGTTGCCCACATGAATGCCCATTCGACGCCGCGCCACCCAGGCAGGCGAACATTGCGCTGCGGCCATTCTTGAGTTCCACCTCACGGCCTCAATGCAAAGATATGCAAAGTAGCAGCAGTTTCCGCTGTCCCCCATCCAGGGACCCAAGGTCCAGAGTCCAAGCCCTATGGCTTGTCAGAACGGAGTTTCCGCGGGTGACGCGAGCTTACACGCACCTGGCAGCAAGAACATGCCACTGGTATATAGGGCGCTTGTGACTAATGGACCGTATACCAAAGCACTCGAGACGAGAAGCGGGAACAAAAGAGAGAGAATACTTTGTTCAGTCAGCGAGAAGCCGTAAAAGAATTACAATCAAAGCAAGAAACGGATCGAAATGGTATGAAATGGTCATGGTGTACTCTTTGATACTTCAGCGTTAGTGTCACCAACAAGACTTGCGTGGACATGTTCAAACACCAACCTGGAACAACCTTCGCTTCCTAGTTAAGCTTGGTCCAATCATGCAAATGATTCTGCTGGTGTGTGTGTGGCCTAGGAGGAGTTTTGCTGTGGCAAATCAATTCGGTCCTTTGGAATTATCAATCCCTCTGCAAACAAAGTGACCTGCAATGTTTTGTTTGGATTGGGATTCCTTGAGCCATCTATTCTGAACCCATTGTAGTACGCTATCGGTTGTGGTAATCATGTCGAACCCAAGATCAAATCCAGCATAGAATAACAAAGAATTGGAAGTTATGGGCAAGCTCCTTGGATCTTCTTGGCTAGGAACTACAGCGCCATCTGTACTTTCTGGGCATCCCATTTCACGTCGAAAAGTCATCCACCCCCAAAGAGGTACCAAACTGGCTGCTGACAGTTCAGACCTGGTTCTGAACCATCTCCAGCATCCAAAAAACTCGATTTCGCAACCTCTCAGGAGAGTTGTTCACATAAACATCTTGAGCCTTCACATCATTCGCCGGGCCGCTTATGGCCACTATGGTCCAGTCAAAGGTCGTGTCTTCAGCCGGGAGAGGGGGCTCGAGCTTGGAGACCAAGCTATCCAGTTCAGATTCGTCGGCAAGGCCCAAGGGATCCCAGCCCGGTCGAGCCACGCCGCAAGCCCGCCCTGAAGACAGTCTTGAGCACGGGCAAGATGTCACAGGGCGAAATGTCATCAAATGCTATATGGTCAATTGAGAGTTTGCTGTGTGTGTCACACTCTGTTTCCAAGAGTTTTCAACACGCAGGGGGACGGGACACCACTGGCACCGCCCGTCCAACGAAGAGGGTGCCAGTCGGTGCTGATGCAGTGGAGGACGCTCCACTGTGCACCTGCGAGAATTTTTGAGAAAGCTGTGACTCCACTTCTCCATTTTTTTGGTTCATGGTCCTTGCACGATTCCTCCCCAAAACCTTTTCCTGCCGATGAGCCGCGCCGTTCGCTTCGCCACCGCCGTGTCGTGAGCTGTAGATGTGCGTAAACCTTTGTTAAACAATACTGTTCTGCGGACCTTGCCACCTTTCTGTTCCATCGCCCTTTTCGACCTGGGAACTGAGTTAACTGCAAACCCAATATCAAAGTGTGTGTGTGTGTCCGACATATATTCTTATGATAAGTAATGATAAGTACAATGAGATTCAATACAGTGCAAGTGAAACCTTGCAGAAGCCTGTTTGCTGGCCAGGAGAATCTAGCAAGCCAAGTCACGTGGCAGCGCCCCTAAGGGGCCATGCGTTTATGCATGTGCTTTGCTTTCATGGTGTTGACCTGGGGTGGGTGGGGTTCTGTTGACGTCACTTGTACTTGCAAACGCTTTTGATTCTACGCGGTGGACAGGAAACTTTAAGACCAGAATTTTCCTCTATCCAAAACGTTTAAAGGTGTACCGAAACACCTAAATACAGACCTTCCGAGCAACCCTTTCAGCACTTTCACCTCCTCCAAAACAACAATGTCGGAAAAAAAACGCCAGAAACGTGGGAGAATAAGCAAATGCCAACAAACAACAACTTGAAAAACACACTCAAACGCACGGCCCCTTACAGGCGCTGTAACCTTATTTTGGGCACGGCGTTGTTGTCTCTATCCCGTCCTAGAAACAAAGGCTGCAGCGCCGCGGTTGTTTTTTGTCCCCACCAGTCCAAAAAAACACCTCAAAAAAATTAAAGACGGACAAACAGAGGCTTCAGTGAAACAAGTCCAACAATTCCAGCTACTTAGGAAACCAACATTCCATCAAACACTCAACATATCCCTAACCTTGTCCCCTTGAAGATCCAGAGTTACAGCATGTGACAACTATGTTGGGCGGCCTCTTGTTTATGTCCTCCACCACCACCACCACCAACAACAACAACAAGAAGAAGAACAATGGCTGGGGGTCAGCGATATCTGAACGCAGAAAAGATATCACCAGCTGCCAAGATGCCAAGATCTGTCTCAGCAGTGGACTGCCGCGACAATCTCTGCCGCAACTCTTCGGCGTCTTTATCTTGGCCGTGGCAGTCTTCGTCGATCTTGTAGTCTGTCCATGCAGTGCGCCGCCTAGAGTTGCTCATTCTGGAGAACCAAAGAGCGACAAGTGAGTGCTATTGTGTGCTTTAGGTTGAAACCTGGGCTGGACAAAAGCAAAGCAAAGGGCAGAAGTATAGGTGAAGGAAAGGTGGCAGCGCGAATGAAAGAGAAATCAAAGAAGCCGCAAAAGCGAACCGCGCGCCCTTTTCTACGCTAGAACTTGGGCCACTTGAGCCACGGGTGCATGAAGTGAAAACATCCAACACTCCACCTTGAGTTGGTAGCGTTCTGGAGCTTCCAACTCACCTCTCCAAGTAGAGCCAGACGAACCAGTCGAAATCCTCGTCCCAGTCTCCGGCCAACACTATCTTGCAAAAGGTGCCATAGTCATGGCGGTCATCCATCCCCCAATGCACGATGTGGTCAAACGCCATATGGGGGAACGATCGGCTGTAGATGGAAGCCAATCTTGTCCTCATGAACTCCTTCAGCTGGCGCGTGGTGAAAAGTCCAGCCTGGAGCACTCGGCGAGCTCGCTGCTCTTCCTCCCTCTTCATGTATTTGAAGAGGTTCTCGAACTCCCACCAGTCAACATCAACTGGTGGAGGATCAAATGCAGATCGGTTGTTCGGATCTTCTGCTGCCTCATTGTAGCCTTCAGGAGGTGGTGGATCATCTACATCCATGTAAGCAGGCGGCGCCGCATCATTCTCAAAGCTGGGATCTTCTCTCTCTGAAGCCGTTGGCTTGTAGTACCTGTGGTACCCACTCACTGCATTGCCCATAAAGTATTCTTCTCCGCTGAAAGCATCCTCCTCACTTTGCAGTACTCGGTAGTCTGCCAACGTCCCAGTCATCGGGTCCCAATCTGTGATGATGTGACCCGCTGTCCTCTGTTGCGTTTCAGTCTCACCATCCTGCTCATCCATCTCTTCATCGGGCTCCTCTTCATCTTCTTCTTGCACCTCTGTAGATTGCTCCACCTGTGGCGCATGCTCCAACTCTGGTGCCCGTTCTTCTTGTTGTCTCTCTTGCAATCCTTCTTCTGGTTGTTCTTCCTCTTCATCTGTCCTCTGGAGACCTGGAGGTAAATTTCTCGCCCTTCTCACAAGGTTCCATTCTCCTCGGTTTGCTGCAAGTCTTGCCCTCATGATCATGCCAATCTCTGCAAACTCATCCTGTTGCCTTTGAAATTCCATCGTCTCTTCTTGCCTCAAGAACCGGAGAAATGTCCTGAGATACACTGAGAGCTTCACTCGGTACCGGTAGCCAACATACATGCCATAGAGGAACACAAAGGTGGTGTAGATAGCTAAGGCCTTGATGACAAACCACCAAGAGTAGCCCTCTGCTGGTACCTTCTCATCAGCTACCTCTGTCACCGGTTCTCCTCCAGCACTGTGCTGCAGTAAAAGCAAGGTCACTGCTCTCACTACACTGGTAGGGATCTTCAACCCCCAACTGCTTTTCTCCTCAACCACCGTTTGAATCATTTGCTTCTTCACTTCCTTCATTTGCTTGGCCAACATCTTCTTCTCAAGTTCCTGACTGAAAGTCTCCTCACCGACCTTGGAAAAGATCTCGTCTTTACCCTCTGCATTCATCTCAGTGATGCCGATGAGGTACATCAGGAATTCACGGCGTTGCCTCGACAGCCTCTTCGTCCCAATGTCAGAGACATTGAGGAGAGTGGGGATTCCCTCCATGACCATTGTCTCTTTCTTCACCTCAAGCTGCATCCAGAGGTACTTGATGTCAATGTGCTTCAATCTGCACACACCAAGCCGCTCTGTGAAGGCGCGGCGCGAGCTGCTATCGGTGATGGCTTTGATCATCACCATCCTGCGGCTCAAGAACTGCCACAGATCTTTGACCTGAATGGCCTCAGCAACTCCTCCGGCAGAAGCCAGAAACTCAGCCTCACAAGAGCTCAAGGCAATCGACTTCTGTGAATGTGACCAGCTTGTGATCAAGCACCCATTCAGGAACATGAAGACCGAAGAAACACTGTGCCTCCTCTTAGCTGAGCTGCTCTTGTCACCAGCCCAGTCAGAATCTGAGAATACTTCAAGGAAGTCTTTGTCTTCTTCTTCTTCCTCCACCTGGCCCATGATCTCTGCCTTCTTGCTGCGAGTCTTCAAATATGGAAGCAGCAGGCCATAATTCTCTGTTCTCTTCAGGTAGAGGATCACGTGCTTGACTTCCATTTCTGCTTTCCTCGTGGGCTTAGCCATAAACTGGCTCAGATTCCGCACAGCATGCTGAATATCAACCCGGTCTTGGCTGATGTAGAGCAAAGTCCCCAGGCAGAGCGAAACTTGAACTGCTCATCGCCCTCAAGCACTTCCTCTGGAGGTCCTTCCAAATTTTCTTGCGCACTCTCCGGCGTTGCTTTTCCGGCCCTTCTCTCAAGCTGGTAGAGCTCCATCAGGCTTGGGATGTACTTCTCATGGGGCATCACAACCAAACCTTCCTTTGCGAAGAAGTGGCGCTTCTTCAAACACCTTACTGCTTCCTCTTCCAGCTGTCCATCCACTGGGAGCACACCAGACTCGCTCAGCACGAACTTCTCCTTCATGACTTGCGACAGCCATTGCACATGCTCCACCTGTCCAGCAATCATCGTGTCATCAACGTGAGAATCAACGTGACAAACAGCTGCAAGTTCACGGTGTTCATGTCGAAAGAGTGCAGGAAGACTCAAGTGGTCAAGGTCAACAGCTCTTCAGGTCGCCACCATGGTGGTTGCTCCACCAGTACTAACCTGGTCTGACTGACCAGTAGAAAGGCGTCCTTGATGTCTGCAAACATGATTTTCCAACCCATCAAAACATGGGTTGACAAGAGAAGCCGGGTTGCATTCAAGGATGAAGTCGGTGCAAACGTTTTGGAACTGGAAGCGTCTCCTCCTCTGAACTCTCTTGCGACAAAACGACATCTTCTTTTCCACCTTTTCTCTCGAACACGCCAGTCATAAACTGACCTTGTAGTCAAAATGCTGCCTTCTGCAAGCTCATCTGGAGTGGGGTCTTCCAGAACCTTCATCTTCAAAAGCCTCTCAATCTCTTCTTGTCCTGCAGCCTCTTCTATGATTTTGAGTTCCTCTGGACTCACTTCTGGAGGATGTCCTTCATCTACATCCTCCTCAAAATCCAGCGATGGCCACTCATCAGCCTCCTCAACTTCCAGATAGGACTCAAGCTCTTCTTCCCATCCTTCATCATTCACTGGGTATTTCACCTGGCCAATTGACACCACTTGGACGTTCCCGGCATACTTTGGTGGATACAGATGGGATGGACTTCCTTCTGGCTGAGATCGAGCTGCCTTCGCCTGTGGATGTCTCGGGGTCATCGGAAGCTTTACTTTCCCTGTTGTAGGCCGTCTTTCTCCCACTTCATCATCATCCAGTCCAAGCGGCATGGGAGGAATGCAAATGTACTTATCTGCAGGTTCACCTTCAGCTTCTCCTACTGATCTTCTCTTCTCACCCTTCGGCTCTTCTCTGGGGCTCTCACCATCTCCATGTTCTCTAGCATACCTCTCTACATCGTCGGCATCTCTGTCTCGGAAGAACTGACCTTCTTCATCTGCCTCTCAGCAATCCGGTAGTGCCAATCACCATGTGGAGGTCATCCTCGTTGGTCTTACCAACCCACACTCCTGGAAGCCATTGGGGTCCCTGCTTTGCACCAGGTTGCTTGTTCAGGACCATGACAAACTCCCCAAAGCACACAACCTTGCCAGTGTACCTTCTGCCAAAAGCAAGTTCGAAAGGAGCTGCTTGAATCGCTCGATGGGCTCCAAACCTATTCAGCAGCCATGCAGCATGAAGGTAGGACCATTGCCAGAGTGGATGCTCACTGGCCAAGTTCAACTTGCACTTGTCCTGCAACATTTCCATCAATGTTGAGGCCTGTCTTCGAAGAGTTTGGATGGCTCGTTCAACTCGACTGGTTTGGCCCTTCTTCATACTGAAAGTGATGGCGGTCTCCCGTCGAAAACTGTGGCGCAAAGTCTTCACATACGTCAGCAGCGCCTTCATGGTTGGCTCACTGTCGCCAATCACCTCCACATTTCCATAGTAGTTGAGGGACAAGGAAAACCTCACCACATGCTCTGCCTGATTGCGCAAATCAGAGCCTTTGCCTTCCACTGGCACACACAGCAGCATTCGAGTTTCAGCATCCACACCTGTCAGAGAGGTCACCAGCTCAATGTTCTTGTTGACTTCGTCGGCACGAGACTTGCCAAAAGCATAATCCAGCTGGATTGCAGGTATGGACCTTCTGCCTTCTTCCGAGTGGTCAAGAACTCTCTGAGGGTCCACACGGCTCTTGCAAGCAACACAAAAGTCGCACCACTGCTGAAATGGAATGTGTGTCAGCTCATGCAACTCTCTCTCTGCTGTGCTCGGTTGCCGGGGAGCACGTACGGGAACAAGTCCTTGATGTCGATGTTGTTCCCTGAACAGCCTGTTTGCTGCTGTGAAAAGCTCTTTGTTCTCCATCTTTTGGACTTCTTGGTTGATCCTCGTCCACAACGAGCTCTTGGAGCCGCCACGTCCCACACCAAGGAACTCTGCTGCCTCTCTCAATGCGCGCAAAGAACTTCTCTCGCTCAGATCAGTGTCGTTGATCACTAGGGCAGCCTTGTTCTCAAACATAGGTATGGGACCGCTCCAAGGGTCTCCTTCTGCATCCTGTTGCTCAACCTCCTCAGCCAACACCTCCTGCTGTGGGTTCAACTCAAAAGGAACATTTGGCTCTCCACTGAATTGGAAATCATCACTGTCAACTTGAATTCCTCCTCCAGTAGCTGTCTGCTCACCAATGACCGTGCCAAAGAAAGAAATCGGCTCTTTCTTCCTGTGCAGGATTGTCAACGTTTGAGTTTCCATTCCACCACACTCTAGAATCTCACCATCAGGTTCTTCATTGGTGTAGTAACGAGCGCAGTGTCCAACCAACTCCCACGTGTCATCCAGCTTCCTGATCAAAGTTGACCTCAATGGCCACCAGTTCAAGTTCCACATGAGTTGCCCATCCACGAAGTTCTTTGTCTCATAGCAAAACCTCATAGGGTTGCCATCTTTCGTGGTTCGCCAAGCTCTGAGGCCATAGTGGGTCCAGAACTCTTCATTCAACTTCAGGATCACTCGAATCACCAAAACCTCATCATCATCTTGGGCTTTGGCTCCTCCTTCTCCATGGATCTCACCTG